TATAATATTATTTATTAATAGATAAGTACATTAGTCACTATAGATATATATATTAGGCTATTAATTATTAGATTATAGAGACTATAATAGTAAGTTATTTAATTATATATTATATTAGTATATTATAACTACAGTAAAACTTTATAAGAATATAGAAATCTTACTATTTCTAAGTTAAGAAGTTCTAGGTTATTTCTAGCTATTTAGTTAGTAGAAATTACCTTAAAAGTAAGGCTTTTTTACTACCTATTCTCTAATAATTAACTATAAGGTAACTATATATTTACTAGTTAATCTATATATAATTCTACTATATTTAACACTAGTTACTATATAATTATAAGATAGTTACCTTATTATTATTATTTTTATTACTTATTATAATAGTATTAATTAATAAAAATATATATTAGTTATTTTAAATATATATTAGACTATTAATTATTAAATTATAAGAATTATAATAGTTAATTAATTAACTAAATTATATATAAGTATATTCCTATAACTATAGTAAAAATCTATAAGAAATAGAGAAATCCCCTTATTTCTAGGTTAGAGAATTCTAGGTTATTCCTAGCTATTTAGCTAGTAGAAATCACCCTAAAAGTAGGGTGATTTCACTACCTATTCCCTAGTAATTTACTATAGGGCAACTATCTATTTACTAGTTAATTTATATTGTATTCTACTATATTTAATAGTAATATTATAGTAAGGTAAGGTATTTATAATTACTAAGATCTAATTAGTAGTCTTATATACTTTAACCTATATTACTAAGGGGGTATATCTTAACTCCTTTATTAATAATAAGAACTATTTACTAGTATTCTTTACTAAATACTACTTAACTTAAATACCTATAAAGAGGGCTTTTTCTTAGTTTATTATCTATTTCTCTAGCTTTTTTATATTATTAACCTTATAGTCTATTACCTTCTTTATAATCTTATTATATTTAGTAATACCTAACTCTCTAGCCTTAATATAAAGATATAGGTAGTGTACTACGCCTGTTAATAGACTATTCTAGTATTACTAAAAGATTAATTAGTTTAGGCACTAAGTGCCTAAAATACACTACATATAGCCTTATAAAGGGTAACTAGGCTAACTCCTTATACTTAACCTATAGTATATTTACTTTACTTTTTAGATTCTTTATTTATATATATATTATTCTCTTACTATTTTAACACTTAGTAATAAGCTTTAGATTAAGAAATAAGTAAATGTATAAAATAAGCTTCTTAATAGCCTTATACTTAGCCTTATACTTATGTTAACACTAGGTATATATCTTTTTATTATACTCTAGTTACTTAATGCTTTTATTATTAAAATAGGCTAACTTAATTACCTAGGTAGCTGTTAGTAATAAAGATAGTAATCTATTCCCTATATTATTATAAATCTATTAAGTAACTACTAACTACTTTATTATATAGTTAGCTAGATTTAACTTATATAGCTGTCCCTTTATTAACTTTATTGTTTTTATTTTACTATTATTAGTAATTAATAGGTTAATTACTTTTTATAAGTTAACTACTAAGGCCTTTTACTTTATTTTAGATATTTAAAGGTACTAACTAGCTAGGCCTTTTAGTATAGTAGTAAGGTTATAGGTTTTGTTATTTATAATAAATATTAATATATATATTATATATACTATATATTACTTTAAATAATATTAATAAGTAACTTATAGATTAGACTATTAATTATTAAAGTATATAATTAATAGTAATAATCTTTATATTAATTCATTATTCTAATTATATATATATATATATATATTTATAACTATCTTTACTACCTATAGCTATTACTAATTAGCCTATTAAGAGGTAGATATTTAGAATATTATTTTCCCTTATGTTAGGTAGTAAAATCTATCTAGAAAATAACTAGTGTATTTAGAGTAATTACCTTACCTTACACTCTAGCGTATATGTTTTTTACCTACTATAATAAATATATAGTTACCTTATAGTAAATTATTAGAGAATTAGTAGTAGAATTACCTTACTTTTAAGGTAATTTCTACTAACTAAATAGCTAGGATTAACCTAGGATTTCCTAACTAAGAGATAAAAGTATTTCCTTATCTTTATAGATTTTTACTATAATAATACAATATATAATAAGGTAGATTAATCCTTATAGACTTATAGGCTAGCTACCTTAAGACGTAAGGGTTATAGATTAATTAGTAAAAAAGTAACCTCTAAAAGCCCTTAAGGTTAAAGAAAGATAATCCTAAAAAGATATCCTTATAAGACTAGTCTAGTAAAGCGTAAAAAGGTTATAAAGATTTATATAAGTAACCTACCTATACTACCTAAAATATATACTAACTTATATAATTATCTATTTATAAATAAGTTTTATTAAGCTAAAATAAATTACTTATAAAGTTATAAAGTAATAAGTAGTTAGTATAAAGTTAGTATTAATAACGCTAGTAATAACTAAACACTTAATTACTAATAGGTATATACTTATAAGTTAAATAAGTATAAATACCTTACTAAACATAAAGTAAGACTTATTATATAAAAGGACTAGTAAGTAAAAGACGTAATTTAAGATAACTATCTAGTAATATTAATAAAATAATTATTATTTAAAGCGCTTATTATAACATTAGCTAAGTTTAATCTTAAGCTAATCTAATTTAATATAGTTAATATATTTATATATACTAATATAAAAGAAATAGTATTTATAAAAATACTACTAAGGTATCTAAGTTATAATAATAAGAGGATTACTAAGCTACTAAAGGCCTTATATAGTCTAAGGTAGTTACTACTACTATAGTAAAAGCACCTTAAGAAAGAACTTTATAAACTTAGATTTATACTAGTTACTAGTAGGCTATACTACTAGTAAGAAAGTACTATTATATTCTTTTTTTATATTAATAATTACGTCTTTATATTCTTTAAGTTAGCCTAAAGTAAGGCTAAGAAAGTAATAAAAAGTAGAAAAAAAAGATACTACTTAAAAAGTAGTAATAAAATATAATAGTTTTTTAAAATAAAGGTTATATATAACTATAAGTACTAAAAGATCTAGCTATTATAACTAATATATATTAATAAGATCTTAAAGCTAATTAATAATAAAGTCTAACTACTACCTAATAATATACTATTAGGTAATAAGAAGCTACTACTATTAAAGTAAACTACTATAAACTTTAAGATAACTAAATACTAATATAAAGTTAGTTTAATTTTATATATAGTAGTAATAACTAAACTAGATATTATATTTACTACTAGCTAACTAGTATAATTTAATTAGAACCTATTAGTTATATATTGAAAGATATTAAATTCAACACTATAATACTTTTACTATATTAAGGGACTTTACTTTAAATTTAGGTTTAAAAATAAATTAATTATTATATCTAATATAAGCTTTATTAATAATTTGATTAATTAAAAGAGCTCTTAAGTATATATAATTAAGCAATTTAGAGGACTTATTTAATTAATTTTATATATTATAGTTTAATTAACTTATAAAAAAAGTAGAAAAGTAAAAGGAAGTAGTCTACTTATTATAATTATTTACTTACTATATAGGCATATTAGTATATACTTATAAGGTATAATATAATACTATCTAGAAATAATAAGCTACTTTTTACTATATAAATTATCTTTATAGTAAGCCTCCTTTATAATAATTCTACTATACTTATATAATATAGTTTAATATAATTAACTCTTATAATCCTTATAATTTAATAATTATTATTTCTAGATAACCTCTAGGGTCTATATCTTAGCTACCTAGTGAGGCCTATAAACATGTATTATGTTGCCCTGCCCTAGAAGAGCAGCCCCACTTAGCGCCAGTCCGCGGCCGCTTAAGAACCCAAGGCCCCACTTCTCGCCTAGACGGGTCGTTATCTTAGCCCGACGAGCACTCCGTCCGTCTGCATGAGGAAGGTCTCAGCCAGTAGTTCTTTTCTCACGTCTTGCTCGCAATGGGGTTAAGTAGCGTAATTCATATATGGACCTACATGGGGCGTCTACTGTGGGTTTTTGAAACGGCATGTTATGGGGAGACCAACCAGTTGGAACATCTTTTGCGGGGAGATTAGTATATAACGATGCTAGATATCTTATTGGAACCACTAACTGAGAATTTAATGCGAGATCGTTTTATTTGTTGAGACTGGCAGGCACTGTTGCTGACTTTCGAAAGCTTCCATAATGGCATCTGAACCGTTAGCTTCTCCCCTGCCTGGAAATTGCGCACTCACCACGGCAGGCAGCTTAAGACACTCCCCTGAGACTTGGAGCTTTCTTGTTGTTATTCTAGCCTCGATTTTGGCGTACAGGATCTGGAGCGACCGCAAGTTCAAACTGCCGCCTCTTATCAACCCTCTGCAGTCGTTTGACCTAACTGGGGCTGGCGTCAAGAAAGACTTCATCCAGAGGAGCAGCAAGCTGATCGACGAAGGGTCCAGGAGGTTTGGAGACCAACCGTATAGTCTCATGTCAGACGTCAGACACGTTATAATTCTGTCTCCGAAGCACGTCGACGAGATCTGGAACAACCCCAAGCTGAGCTTCTTGAAGAACACAGAAGACGTAGGGCAACTCTGGTAGAACTGCGGTGAGGCATACAGCAGACGCTAACCCGATTTACACAGGAATTTCATGCCTACCTTCCTGGTTTTGAGCCCTTCGGGGCAGGGCGGGCCATCCAGATTTTGATCATGGTTGCCAAGAAGCAGCTCACCAAATTCCTAGGTAACAGCGTTCCTTTAGAGAATCTTTGTGGGCTTTTGCTTAAATAAACGCGCAGTTAAGCTGATATCCTTCATGACAGCCAAGATAACTAAGCCACTCTCCGATGAGACCGCTTTCTCATTTCACACTGTCTTGGGCGACTCTCCAGGCAAGCCTTTTGCCGTTCCCAACTAAAATGATGTCCTGCTCCTAACTCTATTAGCGCAGAATGGCAAGAAGTAGGCCTCAGAAAGACCATTCTCAGCGTCGTCTCCAGGCTGTCGTCCCAGGTCTTCCTGGGAGCGGACATCTGCCGTAATCAAGCCTGGCTCAACACCACCGTCATGTACGCCGTTGACTCCTTCGTCGCAGCTAAGAGGCTCCGCATCTTCCCGAAGCCTCTCAGACAAGTCGTCCACTGGTTCCTGCCGGAGTGCCAGCGTGTCCGCAGCCACATCGACGAAGCCCGGTCCATCATACAACCAGTTATCGACGGCCAGGCCCGCAAGAAGCGCGAAGCCTCTTCACAGGGCCGTCCGGTCCCGACGTACGATAACGCCATCAAGTGGGGCAAGGAAGAGTCTGCAAGGTCAAAATACGACCCGGCGATCTACCAGCTCGCTCTGGCCGGTGCTGCCATCCACACGACGACTGACCTACTCTCCCATGTCATTCTTAACATCCTTAGCCATCCGGAGCTCATCCCTGCTCTCCAGGCCGAGATGATCGAGGTGCTCGGGAAGGAAGGATGGGCCAAGACATCGTTATATAACCTAAAGCTGATGGACAGCGTCATGAAGGAGACGCAGAGATTGAAGCCGGTTTCGCTAGGTAAGTCCCGGCCCGGATTGATTGTCGCCTTCAAGAAAAGAGATGAGAATCACATTATCATCTGTAAGAACGTAAAGCTGACACACGTCGCAGTGTCCATGGGACGCATTGCTGAGGCCGACGTCCACCTGTCAGACGGCACAGTCATCCCAAAGGGCATGAAGTGCGCGGTCGCCAACACCTCGAGGCACGACCCCGCCGTCTACGAGAGGCCAGACGAATTCGATGGCTACCGGTTCCTCAGAATGCGACGGACCCCGGGTAAAGAAAACCAGGCACATTTCGTCACCACCGGGCCGGACTCCCTCGGCTTCGGTCACGGGCAGCACGCCTGCCCCGGGCGCTTCTTCGCCGCAAACGAGGTCAAGATCGCCCTTTGCCACTTTCTCCTTAAGTACGAAGTCGAGCTGGCCCCTGGGTCGGACTCGTCGGTGCAGGTCCATGGCTTCAGCCTGAACTTCAACCGACAGGCGCGGATCAGGGTAAGGCGTCGCACCAAGGAGATTAATTTAGACGATTTGTAAGAGGAGTGGCCTGTTATGCGTCAGAAAACATCGTTTATAGAGCACGGCTTCTGTTAGAGAACTAGGCAAAAGCTACGCTACTTATACGTTTACAAAATAGAAGCCATACTTATCAAGGCGCTACTAAGTATCAACATTAGCTATTATTAAAATAAACCGAAATATTAGAATATTAAGTACAACAGTTTGTCTATTACTTATTAGGTTATAAGATATAGTTAGATGTTGTTAAAGTAGTCAATATCTTGTTATCTATATAGGATTATGTATTATGCTTTAATTAATATATAAGGAACTAGCTAACGTATAAAGGTTATTATTTTCTGTCTTTCTAATACAGATCGTCTTGCTCCCTAACACAGTCGCAAGTTCTTGCTATGTTCTATCTTAGCCAGTCAGACGGCAGAAACCAATTGTACGCCCTTATTTAATCAAAAGTTGACGGCTTTCTCCTTAGTGGCACGAAGTTCTCCTGAAGCAGAAAGTATGAGTATTTTGGCTTGTCCTCCTATACATCATGTGGGTTGCGCCTTTATTACGCTTTCAGCCTGACTTCTACTGCAGTGGTTGTTTAAGGATTTGGGCGCTCTGGCTAATGTTAAGAGATACCGCCGCCTAGCTTACTGTATAGTTTGAGACTTCTGTTGGAGTTCAGACAAGACTAGAGATACCTAGCAGATTCTGGTTGCTGACTAAGAACTATCTATAGCTCGTTGTGTCCACCCTGCTTTTGGTAATATCTGCGATTTGATGTAGGTTCTTGTTACTGCTAAATAAAGCCTGACGAACTATGTTGCGCCGTTTGAGTTTATTTGTGCCTTAAAGCAGAATCTTGAATGTTATTAGCACCTAATTTGTTAAGTGATTTACGTCTCTTTTAACAATCACTAGATTATTTAATTAAATAATTCACAATTTAGTAGGCTAAAGGATATCTTAAGTGACTTTTTTGCTACAGGCTCTTTTTTTAATTAGGTATAGTATGCTTAGAGGCTTACTGGGCATTTAAGTAGTATAATAATACTTAAGATTACATTACTACTGAGCTCTTAGCTCTAGGCAAAGCTAACATGCTTACTGATTACCTAAGCCGAATTGCCAAACGCCTTATGGCATTAAGCAAAATTTCAGAACTAATTACAATTATATCAGTTAAGTCTATTGTTGCATAGAAAGTTACAAAGCAATATTTTGCCCACTTCGGTTAAAGGAGTTAAGCTGCCTGTAAAGAGGGGATTCATTTCTATTATAGTTCAACCTTAGCCTTCGTTTCCCGCTTCAGTTCTGCCTAGCGGCTTGAATGTCCGTTCTAGAGCAACCAAAAAGCATAGGCAAAGCCTAACTACAGCCGATAATCAAATCGCTAAACAACACTGGTTTTCTAAGGCTTAGGGTTTAGTTGCTCTTAGTATAGACCTGTCAGTTAATAACAGATATGTTAGTCCAGGGTAGCAGTGCGATCCAGGAGATATAGATACCCTTCTAAGATAATCTTAATTAAATATAAGCTAGCGCTTTATTAAGAGTAACTAACCTAACTTTAGCCTTAAAGTTAGTTAGTTAACTTAAAGCTATTTATTACACTTTAGGTGCTAGAAAATAAAATATAAAATTTAATACCTTTCTTTATCTAAAGTAGAGGACTATTTTCCTTAAAATATGTAAGGAATTTCCTTAACTAATACTTTACTAATTAGCGTAATAATTCTCTAATAATAGTAAGGTAATTATCTAGTAATTCCTAAATAATTATTAGTCTTTTAGTAAGGAATTATTAGCTAATTATCTACTTTTTAGTTAGTAAATAGCTAGTATAATCTATAGCTATTAGCCTAACTAGGTAATAGTAAATTAGCTAAAAAAGAAATAATTTATTATATAATAACTACTTATATATAAATTACTTTTTATTTATAAATATATAATAATTTATAAGTAATAAATATAAAATAGTAGTATATAATAAATATTTAATAACTAACTTTTCTTATACTAAGCTACTATTATTTATTCTTTTAATTTACTATATATATAACTATATTATTACCTAAATAATTTTATAATATATATTATATATAAAAGAATTTATTATATACTTTTTACTTAATTATATTATTATTTAGTAATTAAGTAGCTTTTATAGTTACTTATAATAGTATTAAAGTCTATAAAAGTTATAAACAGCTTTAAGAGCTATTTTTTATTCTTATTATAAGTATCTTAGTATATAGTATTATTTAGTAACTAAATATAACGTACATAATAAGTAAGTGCACTAGACAAGCAAGCGCGCTACTAAACTATAACTATCTAACTATCTAACCTTTCCCTTTTATTCCTCTACTAATAATAATAAAATTAACTTATAATAAAGCCTAGGTACAGCTAGCTATCTAAGCGTATAAAAAAAATCTAAAACTTAGTATTAAGCTATAGTAAAGATATATAACGTTAGTTATAATTTAGTAATACGTTAATTAAAAAGTACACTATTATAACGTAATATTATACCTAACTTATAGAATTTAATAGAACTTAAAGAGAGGAAGCTAGTTAAGTTTATTCTTAACCTAGATTCCTAATTATTTCCTTTTTACCTTAGTAGTGTTAAAGAAATAGCTAATTAACTACTTACTAACTATAATACGCCTCTAGTTAGTAAGCGCTAGGCCTTAAACTTTATTAAATAAACACTAAAGCTCTAAACGTGTTTTTTTTATAAGTATAACTATAAAAAGGCTTAATATAAAGATCTAGATATAGTAAATATATAGTTTTACTTTATAGTAAATATAATTATAAAATATAGTATTATAAAGTCTAATATTTATAACTTTAATAAGACTAGCTTTATAATAAGCTAGATTATATCTAAAATAGTTATTATAAGCTCTAAAAGACGTTTAAATATAAAAATAGTATAGCCTAGAAATTAAGAATAGGTTATAGTTATTTAGGCTATTAGTTTATTTAGTTATAGCGTCCTACTATATATTATTATTAGAGGTAAAAATCTTCTTTTTACTTAGTATATAAAATCTAGTCTTTTACCTAACTAAGTTATTATAATATCTAAAAATAAATAAATAATAAATAAAAAAGGCTTAGATTAGCTTTAGTACTTTAATTAATATTTAAAGTTATATATAAAAAAAATATTACTTTTTTATTATTAATAAGTATAAAAGTTACTATTTTATAAACTTTAAGCTATATTATAAGAAAAATAATATTATTACTTTTTATATACTACCTTATTTATCTTATTTACTTTAGCCCTTAGATATTAGGTGTTTTAGGCTTTTAAAGCTAGCGTATAGTTAAAAAATTAAAGATAAGATATAATAAGTTAATACCTATATTATAAAGGATAACTTCTTTCTAGTATTTTATAACGCCTTTAAGTAAGCTTTTATAAAAGTAAATATTTAAGGAGGCTTTAAAGAGGTAAGGCTTATCCCTTTAAGTCTAAAAAGTATGCTATTAAAGCTAGATATTAAGTTATACACTCTAATACCTTTAGGATTCCTTTTAATAACACTACTAGCTTAGACTTCTTAGACACTATATAACGTAATAGAGATATCTTCTTAAAGAACTCTTATTAAGGATTACTTTATTAATTATTTAAATAGCTCCCTAATATATAGATTAATAGCTACTAAGTATATTCTTAAAGGAGCGTTAGGAATTATATATAAGAATACTTTATTAAAGGCTAAGGTTAAAACCCTTTATAAGGAGAATAACCTACTTAACTAATATAAAAAGGTAAAAAAAACTTATCTAAAGTAAGGAGGAAGTCTTAGTGTAGCTAATATATAGGATATTTAGTTATAGAGAGAGGTAATAACCTAGATTAAGGAGGAAACACGTTAGAGTAGTAGTTATAGATTAAGAATAGAAATAGGTAAATAGTAGTATAGCACCTATAGGAACGCTAGATATAATACGTAAATATACTAGTTTAATAAAGAAATATCTAAAGAATAGGATTCTAAGTAGTTTAAATTAATTTTATTATTTTATAGTTACTTCTTAGTTATATTTATAAGGTAGCTGTAATTAGGTGGCGTGCTTACTTATCTAGCGCGCTTACTTATTATATATATTACTTCTAACTATAGCGCTTAGTATAGTATAAGCTAGTACTTATATAAGTAATAAAGTTAGCCTAGCTACCATTTTAATATATTTTAATATCTCTTTATCCTTAGATATATTAACTACTTAAGTAGTAATAGTGCTTACTAGATCCTAAACTATAGCCTAGTAATAAAGGAGCACTATAATAAGATAACTAACACCTAATATAACTAAGTCTATACTAGTAGATAAGTAGTATACTATTAACTTAAGTAAGCTATTAAAGAAAGAGCTGAGGGCCTTTCTAGAGAAAAAGTAAAAAAGGTAAAAAAAAGAAAATAATTAATTAAATTAAGGTCTTTTAAAGTAGTATATTTTATAAAAGAT